GATACTCGTACAAACAAGATTGAGTGAGTCTGGAGGAGAGAGGTTAGTCTACATGTATCTACGTCATGTTGAACTCCAGAGAGATATTAACATACAACAAGGGTTCAGTAATCTGTCTACATGTACAGCTACAGCTGTTATGGAGTACGATTCCCTGATACTCAAAAATAAAAAAAAATAAAAATGTTACACATATATTTCGGACAAATGTATGCCCACATTCATGAACAATATTTTACGTGATATTGTAGCAGCTACAATATGGAGAGCTAGCAGTGTCAATCAATACACTCTCATGTGGAGTGTTTACTGGGTTTTGTTCGGTTGTCCTCTGTTTAGCACTCCGTACATGTTTACAATTAATTCTACAAAACACCCATGGCATTGTGCTCGCATCCGCAGCTGTTTGTCTTTTGGAATTTAGCAAAAGCGGAAATATTTGGTGACAAGGTGGAGGGGTAGCTGAGAATTTGGTTTGCTAGAAAACATCAATTTTACAATATTACATTTCAACAAGAAAATAAAATTTATTTAAAATTATTTTCCATGACATCAGGGTTTTAGCATATGGTGATTTTTTTTTCCCCGAATGAACAACTATGTATTGTTTTTTAATTATACATACTAATTATTGTTCCTCCACGTGTATGATCACATAAAACCAAGATATTTTAATTGATCAAAAACAGATTCACAAAATAATAAGATGAGGAAAATAAATTTTAAACCTAATGTTCCCATATTTTTTCCAATGTTGTTATTGCTCCAAAACCATCATGACTTGGAATTGTTTGGAATGGTTGAAATTGATTGATATAAAAATGTTCAAAACATTTTGGCGGGAAAATTATGCACTTCAATTTACAGTTAAAATGCAATAAAGACGTAAATTCAAAACATCAAAATGACCAGTAAACAATTACTTATTAATGAACAAATTCTTAACGTTGTGAAAAATTGACGTTATTGGAGGCCATTCTTGACACTGAAATGTTGATACAAAAGAGTATCAAATAGCAAGCCTGGCAGTTTGCACTTTCAAATCTTTCCAACAATTAAACGGAAATTGTAATCCTTAGACTGACCCCCCCCCCCCCAAATCGTCACAGAAAAATGCTCACTATTTAAAACTGCAATTTTCTGAACAGCTTTTTGTAAAAATCTGTAGAAATTTGCTGAAACTACATAAATCTTTTCATATAACCATTTATACTAATGTCAACTTGTGAGTCCATAGAAGGTGTGGTTTTCGCTATTCAAAGCGGTTTCAGTATTATTCAAATATTTCTTACACAGTAGAGCTCTGTGTCTTTTACACTGGCAAACATCCCTGTATATGGCAGTATGGCAGTCCTAAGTTGACAAAGATCATGCACACTGAAGCCTTTATACTGGCATTTGAGTAAATAAATACCAAACTAATACTGTCAATTTTTGTCACGATCAAGGTTAATGATATTCACAAGGACAACATTTTTGAATTCCAAAGTTAATTTTTGTTAACTTTCCAGAATTCCCCATAATTTTTCCCAGATTTTTTTAAAAACTTTTTTTAAATCAACATCTGCAGCCAATGAGAAATTATGTTCATCAGGTCCAAAAAGAATAAGTAAATAATAAAAATGTGTAAAATGCTGCACCAAAAATGTAAATGTAAAATTAAGAAGCAGCCTGTCGGCTGAGAAAGCTCTGCTGTTAGCAATGCACATTTCAATTAAAGAACAGAAGATATCATTAGAAAATTAACAATATGTATAGACTTGCCGTTTTCAACAAGAAGTCGAAAATATCACTTTTCACCAAAAATGACAAAAATATTCATCAAAACTAGAGAATTAAAGATATCACTATGAAATGAACAAATCGAGAGGCCTACCCAAGGTACATATACACTAAGTATCAAAGCATTTAGGCTTGTAGCTTTCAAGAAGAAGTCGAAAAAGTAAAACATTGACACGGACAAATGCCGACGATGGATTACTCATAGAATTAAGCTCCACTCGACAAAGTTTAAAAACCCAGGTGAAGTACTCACTGTTCTAGTGAAATTAAATCATTTACACTACTACTTGAATATTGACATCACCAATTTTTTTTTTAAATCACAAAAAATAGAACTGAAATTAAGTTAGTGAAAAAAGTCAACAATCTCAAACATCATCAAGTGTTGACAGAATTAAGTGCCATTCACTGGATGACATATGAAGTCTGCGGGGCATAAAGATTTGACTTCAAAACTTCCTGAAGTCCTGGAAGTCACTGAGGACACCAGTAATAGGATACACTTCTGTAAACGTGGGAGTCATAAAGCTGAACAATCAAAACAAATCAGATCCTATTTGTGTCAAAGAAGACAAGTTTGAGTGTAAAAGTACAATAAAAATGAATTTAAGGCAAAAGTTGCATGTCTTATTTTGACCATAAGATTGACCTCAGAACAAATAGGATATTATTTAAGCTTGGAATTTCTTTGCTTTATAAGGTCGATGTGCTTGTATTTATTAGAATTTTTTTTTTACTTCCTTGGATTTTGTATGTGTCTGTGGTCAAAGTAAGTTATATTTTAATTATCCAGCTTACACACAATAAAGCCATTTTTGATTGGAGTATACCAAGTACTGTGGAATACTTTATTTTCACTGGAATTAATTATCGCTGAAAGGGATTTTGGGGCGTTTTGTATGGAATTTATTTTCACTGATTGTTGATGAGTTTAATGTGAAATATAGGAAAAAAGGTATATTCGCTGGATTTTATTTTCACGGAATCTTCACTTCAGCGAAAATAGCGAAAATAAATTCCAAGTGAAAATAAAGTATTCTACAGTAGTATGCTACTATTGTAGATGCACTCATAATAAAGCTAACACAGTAATTACATTACACCATATAATTATGAAAAATACCCAAATCTGTTAAATTGAGAGGGTTTCTGAAAACCACTAGAAGCCGAATGAGGCTTCTGAAACTCACAAAAGTCCATTTCCAACAACAAATCAGTAATACTATTGTTAACATTGTTGTTGATATCAGGTTCAGGGCCAAGGCTGTATGAAAATTAGTCTTCAAAGTAATTAAATGATACGATATATTATAAACCACTTGCTGATCAAAAACATTTCAACAATTGACAGTGTTTAAACCCTCTGGGTGCCATATTTTTTTCACAAACATTTTAAAGAAACTTTTTGCTTATTTTTATGAATATTTTTTATAATGATTTCAGTAATTTTGAAAAAAAAATTATGACAAATAAATTGTATTTTATTTTTTGAAAAATGACAAAAGTGGACTTTGGCATTCAAAGGTTTAGTTAAAAAGTGTATATTATTTACTAGTACATTAATAAATTAATTAAAAAAATATTTTTTGAAAAATTATTTATTAGCCTTGATAAACTTAAAAAAAAATTTCATTTATGGTACGTTAAAGGTTAAAAGTGCGACCTGCAAATAATCAGAGTAAACATAATGTAACCTGTTGTAAAAAACCAATAAAGTACTGGATCTCATTTAAATATTTATAACTAAACAAATAATTCCATCTACTACTAAACAAAGTGATGACTAGCAACAAGGGAATTTAAATTTAGTTACAAATGTCAACAACTTCAGACTACCGACAGCAATCATCAGAAAGAAATAGTTGGGATTTGAAGGCAGTTGCAAAGACTAATTTACATAAAAGTCAATGCGACTTTCACTGCCAAAAAATGTTGGGTTATACCACTAATAAAATTCAAATAAATTTATTTTTTTGTTAAATTAATTAATATGGTAGACAAAATATCTTAAAAAATTAGAAAAAAGTACAGAATGAGGAGCAACTTTTTTTTTTCTTTTGACCCACATGGAGTGTACACAATTGGTACAAATTAGAGGATGAAACAAAAGAAAAAATGGATTATTACAAACAGTTAAAACAATACATTGGTAATTTAATCAAGTAATAATATAATTAATATAAATGCACAACTTTTTTAAAATTATTTAAATTTTTTTTAATAATATACAAAGTAAAAGGAAATGATTGACTGTATATAAGTAAAAAATACTTAATGCGAGAAATTAAGCGAGTGAATGCACACGGATGAAAATGATAAATATCTGACAAGATTACAAGCATAAAAGAATGCATGGCATGTGTTCAACAGGGCGCTAGTAACGATTACAAAAACCAGGAAAAGGAGAGAAAATATTTGAATTATCCACGGCATTTAGACAGGTAGCAACCAATCTCACAATATTCTATATATCAATTATTTACCCTGTACACGAGTGTAAGTTATTCAGGAGTGTGCATGAATACAAGGTAGTGGAAGAACGGGGTAGCAGCACCTGGTTCTGTAATACAATACACTGGTATGCAAACTGACACAATGCTAAGCATTCAGTATATATTTGGGGTATGGTTTACACTAAAGATCAATTTGACAGAGGGAATTATTTACTGTACTACAGCCAAGGCAGTGGTTTTACCCCGATAGGAAAATAACCGGTATAACGCATAGCACAACAAAGGAGTTTTGAACAATTACAATATATTTTAGCATAGTATAATGAAAATGTTGAACTGGATAATTATACTGCAATTGTGTGGTAGAAAACATGACCAGGGGTTTGCCAGTCCTAATTATATTCATGTATATTACACCTGATCAGTATTAATAGGCGTACTGGCATTTATCATACATAGTCTTACCTCAACCAAAATCAATAGACATTACATTAATAATACTGGAATTTTTGACCAATTTATTTTCAGACAGTATTGATTTTAATTTATTTACCAGACAGTATTTCACTGATCCTGAGCGCAACGCTTTGAATTTTTGGAAACTTGGAAGTTGAAATTAACAAGAATCAATTAACACCTTTTTGCAAATGAAAATTAAGTACGACTGCTTGGGAAGAATAGTGCTAGTACTGATGCTAGCCATTCATAACAAGACTAAGTATATCCAAGAAGGGCAAATATCAAGAAACATTATACTATACATACCTCATACCGCGACTGGTCTTTGTCAAAAATCCTCTTCAAAGGAACAATTTTTGGTGCAAAGAAATGCGATAATTTGGCTAGAAAGACCCCATTTTGTAATCCTTCTTCTAATTCGGTAGAAGGTGGTAACTTTTCGTTGATACATATTTCGATCCATCTTCGGAAAGAAAGAAAAAAAAACAGGAAAATTTTATTCAATAGAATATTGAGTATTGTATTAAATACAAATAATTTGGTAATTGCTCACTAAAATTTTAAAAAAGAAGCAAAGGTATACTGAATAAATAAAAGTGCACTATCGATAATACATTTAAATGTCAGGTGTAAATAAAGAAAAAAATTACAATCAACAGATCTTTATCCAATTCAATCAATAATCTATTCCAATAAGATTAACCACCTGACCCTTGACCTTTACAAAATGGCAAGGATGTAACACATGGAACCAGACTGGCAGCAAACGTATGGATTTGATAGGCATTTGCGCACTAGCAGTCTGTAAATAATTACTGTTGCAAGCAGTTCTCAGCTAAAATGCTCCCTAGATTCTTTTATATACCTTATTATGAATGGAATTTATAAATATCGAAATTAGCTTTAGTAATAGATGATACATTGAAGAAACCTGTTGGTGATATAGGTCAAAGGTTATGCATAATCAGATACAACGCACCACCCACAAACCAGGGCTGTATTTACATTTGTATTGTCAAATACCAAATTGCAATAATTGGCAGAAAAACAGGTTTTTAATTAAACTATTTTAGGAAAGAAGAGGATCAAACAGTAAATTCAACAGTAAAATCAAGATGACAATCAACAAGTGCATCTGATATGGCATTGATGACAACATTAAATAAACACATGACTGCTACTCGTATGATCAGGATATAGGGCAGCAGCAATAATATTTTTTTTAATTGATATTAATAGAAAATGATTAGACACCACAGAAAGACGGAAACGCCCAAAAAAACTATACATACTGTTAGCAGATAAGATTATAGCCCGAACAAATTGCAATACAAAGCATTAACAGTTGGTTATCAGTTCATTAAAATAAAATTCAATTCAATCGGAATCAGACGGGAAATGCTTGTATAACAGTATTTCCTTTGTTAATAATTGACGTGCTTCATTACAAATACAGTGGCACCCCAACTTCAGCAAACCACGTAGACGTATGTAAATCATTGTTGATTTCCTAGGCACTGAAACAAACATACGATGAACTTACAATTTAGTCTCCTCCAGGTGACACAGATATTCATAGGCAATATTTTCCCGGCGGGTTTCGTCCATTTCCAAACCAGACGCTCTTTGAGGACGCTCGGCTATATTATATAAAAACAAAAGATCGTTTTCAAAATCAATGTTTTGATAGGACCATGGCCAGTACAGGTGAAAAACGACGGCATGCATCTACATCAGTCATGGTCTGTTTCGGTCAAATGGCATCCATGTTGTGATTTTGGTAAAATGTGGGAAGGCAAGGTTTCGACCACAATACGTTAAGCGTGAAATAATTTTTCAATATATGAAATGCGCATAGACCACTGGTGTTGTTTCAGCAACAACTGTCTGTCGTGCAAAGCCATGCAGGAGGAGAAAAACAACTCGGTTACAACAATATCTGACGACTTACGATCAAAATCGTCATCCACCGGACACCCTGCCACGTCTCCGTTAGTCGCCATGATTTTTTACGCTGATTCACTTGGGTAATTCACAGCACGGGTGCGCTTAGACGCAATTTAGAACAAGTTTTACCAGCAAACGATTTTGAATTCACCCTGTCTGGAAAGGAAAATTCTACGACTGTAAAGCAATGGCGCTCCCATTCAAACGAACTTAGGAGGGAAGCAAAGGACCATGGGAATTGATGACGTCATCGATGCTATTTATAGACTCAGTCCAGTTAAACAAACTTAGTTTTGATATTACAGCTTTCCTTTCAAGCTACCGCTGTATTAGTTGAGTTTGTCGAGCCTGCCATTTATGCAAATTATTCTAACTATCGGTCCGCTGACCCAGGCACACTGTACATAGTTTGATCTAACATGTTCCGTATTTTACTCATTTATTTATTTATTTACTCATTTATTTATTTAATTATTTGTTTGTTTGTTTGTTTGTTCATTTATTTATTTTTCCTGAGATTGGTAAAGGTTACATTTCACATACAATATAAAACAAGTGAATACAATATATATAGTGCCTAATATATATTATTGAAAATAACATTTTTCTTAATATTAAAAGTGGAGGTTGGAATATGCTGTAAATGGCTCATGTTTTTGAATAAAAATACGTACTGAGCACAGTGGATAGCAGATATTGAAATGGAGATGGCCGACTTGATCACTGCGCCCTCGCCGGTGTATTTGCGGCATGCTTTTGGATTGGAGTCCGACGCAGGCGGTAACACACATCGACCATACATGCGTAGTACACGTACATACGTAAAGTATGTTCTGTTTCGAAGTCACCTTAGAACTGTAATATGATCATAGATCATCGACAATACGCCCGTCTGTGGTTTTTCTTATAAGTCGTGCGCTCTATCATGTGTCGAATATTTTTTTTCAACAATAAAAAAAATATTGTGTTTTTATAAGATTTGCGAATTTTAACTATACAACCAATCGGATTGGCCTAAATGAGTTCTGCTATAATTAATTGCCGCATATATTTGTCCAATGTTTATAAAAATGTTGCTTTGAAATTGTCTGTGCTGTTAGCCTCAATAACCATGAATAAACTTGTTTCACGCGTTTTCCTGAACTGCAAACGCTTCTGTCATTTTAAGTTAGCTGCTAGCTTAAAGATTTGGGTTACTATTAATACATGTCTTCTCTGACAAAAATTTACAGGGTTCTCAAGTTACCGCACAATCTTTCAACTTGAATGACATCAGTCCCGGCCCAATTATGACAATTTGTCCTCATATGGTTTTCCTGGCACTGAGTGTAAGGTAATAATAATAAGATGACCATGCTTGAACACAGAACTCGCAAAACATTTATGGTCTTGTTTGCCGCTTTTATACATTGTGTCGTTGGTTTCATATTTGATGTTGTCCAAATCTACTGAATCTACGCCCCTTCACCACTATTTGCATAACTGTACGCTCATCTCCACTTTTTATTGTGCATTTATGACCAGTGATATTTCTACTTAATGTGCATTATTTTATTTATCAATGTTAAACCAAAGACACTGAAAATAATGCAGTGTCTTTGGTTAAACCTCATAAGCCGTGTTTCGCAAGTCTTGAGACTTTCAGGATCATCTTGCAATATTATTTTTCCAGGCAACTAATTGTGTTCAAAATTTTACTATCATCTGCGTAAATCTTCGCACTACAATTGACATTTTCAGGAATGTCAATTACATAAAGAAGAGAGGAAACATACTGAATCTTGGGAACTTCGCTGCTTACATTGCTCCAATCACACCTTGAACAGAAACTCTCATCATTTATGCTACCAACGAAAACATTGTTAAAATCCACTCATCTATTTGACCTATCAATCCATTAAAAAAATAGACCTAATTTTACACATTAGTATCCTGTGTGATGCAGTGTAAAATGCGTTTTGGTAATCCACAACGCTGTGTCTATTATTTACTGCGTCCAGCATCTAAGGGCCAGGGTCCAGCACTCAAAGGTTGCCAACAGGTTATACAAACAGCTTTCACCCATAATGGTGCACGGGTAGGAAAGTCTAAGTACTTAATTAGGTAGTTCTTGAAGATTGATTCAATAATTTTACAAAACAGCACAGGTTAGAGACACCCATTCTGCAGTTTCCTGTCATAGTCTTCATTAAATAACTTAAATATTAATTGCATCCGTAGAAATGAATGTTCTTATCAATTAATACCGCTAGAGGGCGTAACTTATTATTCTTACTTTATCTGATTCACATATTGAATAAATCGTGCCTGGCCAAAATGGTTACCTCTAAGAAGCTAAGAATACGTTTGTTTATAACTGATGTGTCTGATCTGGCATATTCGTTTGTGTTAGGGCCGCGAAAAGAAACATGATGAAAACTATGTGAAAACAAGTATGTGAAAACTTCACAAGGAATTATGGAATGAGTAACTTGAATATTTCAAAACGATTTTAATAAGAAAAGTGTGGAAATGTATTCATAGAAAGAGTGAAGTGAAAGAACAATAATGCCAAGAACTTGTAGAAGTTGGAAACAAATGAGCTCTGTGGGAGGGGGTGATGAAAAAGTGAGAAGCAAGGCATATAAATGCTTCCCCGTACTGTGGGCAACAGAA